TGGCCTCCAACCTAAGACTGATGGCCTCCAACCTATTAGCGATGGCCACCAACCTAAGACTGATGGCCTCCAACCTATTAGCGATGGCCTCCAACCTAAGAGTGTTGGCCTCCAACCTAATAGCAAGCACGTCCTGTCCTTGTTGAGGTCATTCTGGATTCTGGTCAGCAGCTAGCACAGGGTACGATATTCCAGCAAGTCATTGTGGTGGCAGGGTATCAATGAAAGCTCTAAGGCTTCTTCCTGGTGCATACATCTCAATATGATGTGATTTGAGTCGAACTGCATTCGCAGAGGTCAACCCTCGATGACGGTGGACCATGCGGGACCATATAAAAAAATCAGTGGGTTTACGCATCAGGGGACGATGGGCTCGTCATCCAAAAGGAGCCTCTCACAAAAAGCAACCACACGCTGCAGGAGAGCAGTGCCGCATTGTCCGGTTTCTTCAACCTAAATGCTGAAGCCAGAGAAGCTGACTCCAAGGGCCCTTTGAAAGCAACACATTGGGACACAAGGGTCGCATCCAACAGCAAAAGGAAGGGCACGGAAGGGTAGAAAAAATTGGAAAGTGGTAGCTGTGAGATGCTGTGAGCAGATTTGGGAATCGCATCGCGAGAGAACGTTCTATCAAATCATTTCTTCCGCAACAAATGTACAATAAATCGGGTCTTAATTCCAATTCTTTCAAACCTTTTTCTTCAGATGCTTTCTTACCACATCTAGCAAATATTTAAAAATCTTGTTTATTCTTGTGTGTTTCGGCCCTTATTGTGGTTGTGCTTCCGCTTTGTGGATCCATAATGAAACGTTCTACAGAGTGATTGCGGTTTATTACTTACTGTTGTGCTCTGCAATTGTATATGCAAAGCTTATTAATCGTTATAGTTATATAAGTATCTTTCAATCACAATTTCTCCACAGAATCATATCTCTATTATATATATATAATATATTTCTCCCCTAGCACGCCGGTGAAGCTAAAGAGGAGCACATGTACTTGTATCTCTGTACCCAAATATAGATTGATCTCTTATAGACCTAGACTCTAGACGTTCGCATGTAGCTTTGACACCCTTCTTTTCTGCGACTTTGTAGCTGTAACATGTCTCTCGCCTCTGCTCAATAGCCTTCGACTGCACCACATGTTACGTGTTTCTTCCGATAGGAAAAGCAAGGCCTTGCAACCATGACCAAGGGCATGTGTGGACTTCGCAGGCGGTCGGGTAACAAGCACCTGTGGCTTGCATCTGTGGTCATTTCAAGGTCTGTGATGAAATTCATTTGTTTTGATGGGGGAAAAAAGTATCAAGTTCCACTTCCAAATCTAGTGGCGACTCCAAATTCCTCTGATAAAGAAAAACTTGTTGGCCTTCTTTGATGGTCCCATCAGGCCCTTCAAAGCCATGTTTCCCCATATGTTTACGCATGATGACGGATCTCAAGCACCCTTGAAAAAATCGGACAAATGACAACTTGGGACGTGCTTTTTTGTTTTACAAATCCCAACTCACTTGCACCTAGTACACAACAAAAGGACGACTGGAGACGGCTAGCAGGGCGAAGCTCGAAGAAAAAGAGAGAGACAGGAGGACAAGAAGAGGACAACAGGAGGACAAGGTCTGGAGACTGGCTGTTTGCCGTGGCCAACCTGGTGTCAACAAGAGGACAACAGGAGGACAAGAAGAGGACAAGAGGAGGACAACAGGGCGACAAGACGAAGACAAGAGGAGGAAAAGAGAGAAAAAGGACGACAACAGCAGGACAAGGTCCGGAGACCGGCTGGTAGCCGCGGCCAAGCTGCACACCAAAAGAAGCCCTGGCACACTTTTCACACGTGACGGTTTGGTTCGTAGAGCTTTCTGGCGAACATGTGCTGGAGGGTGCAATATTTCGCCTGAAGACACGATCTAAAAAGCTTTCCAGATCAGCCGCGTGATGCCGAATGCATGATGTGTTGTTGTCGTTTTTGGCCCAAGCTGGACCGTGTGGGAGCACTGGTAATTTCTGCCAATTCTGCACATTTCTGGCGGGGTCATTTCCTTTCTCCAGTTACACTTCAATGTCACTTCATGATCATGCTGGCCGCAGGTTTGTGCAGAGTCAACACTTGTTGCTGCCAGGCCACCGGCCTGCGAGTTATTCTACCATGGGAAACACTCAGCAACTTGGCGCATGCCAGGCAAGCATGAGGTCCTACAGTCCTACTGATTACTGAGTTGCAAGAAAGCTGACGGCTGTTAAAGATCAGGCAGACAAGTCATTTTGCTCTTTGCATTGCCGGTACAATCAGTGTCCACAATTTTGCACACCAGCTACACCGATGACACCGGCTACACCAGTTACACCGACGATCACAGCCGCCATTGTAAGTGCCAGCGTAACAGCGCATGATGGTTGGCGGACACGCTTCGCCATGTTGCTCTCATTTTGACCTATATATGTATATATCTACCGTCTCTGGAAAAGGTCAGACTACTATAGTATTAGGATGCTATTAGGTGGAGGCCATCGCAAGTAATTATAGGGAATCACACTTTGATGGCACTCGCAAAACACCTTTGATATGCCATCAATTTGTGATCTCTACTTGGGAAATGCCATCAACCACTTGAGGCTAGATCCTGGAAGAAATAGATGGCATCTAGTGAGATTCTGGGAAAAAAAAGCAACGTCCTTCAAAAGGCTACTAGTGGCAAGGACGCTACTAGTAGCTCCTGGCCTTACCACTAGGAGCAAGAAGCTACTAGTAACAAAGGGCATCGCTACTAGGAGCAAGGACGCTACTCTTTGAACTCTCAGGTGCTGCAAGTCCGTTGACACCAGCCCAGATGCAGCAGCTGAAGCCATGCCCACACTGGACTTGAACAGCTGAAGGGGCGAGATGGGGGGATGGTTTCCTGTTGAAAGCCTGTTTCTTACAAGGAATGTGTCTCATGTGAACTCAAAACAACTTTGGGGCCGCACATTGTTGCAAAACACATTTGGTGTTTCAAGTCAAGGAGGTTAGGTGAAAGGACATTCAAAACACAAGCAGCTATTAAAAGTGAACGTGAATCTTTACCGTGCCTCTTGTGATGTGCCAGGATGTTTCTGCATTTGCCAACACTCAAACTGCTGGCTACTAGCAACAAAGGGCATCGCTACTAGGAGCAAGAAGCTACAAGAAGCTCCTGGCATTACGACTAGTAGCAAGAAGCTACTAGTAGCAAGTATGCTATTAGGGAGCGTTTGATTTATTTTATTTATCTTGACCGTAGCCCACGCTAGGAGGGGTTTCTGTGACTGGACCGCCAAGCTCCCCAAGCTGCTTGCAAGAATGCTGTCTTTGAAAACCCGGTGCAATTACAAAGCTAACGCTGCTTTGACTCCTGAAGGGAGTCTGTTCTGCAGGAGTCTTGGCCGGCGAATCCCGGGAAACCACTGATCGTTCAGCTCCCAGCACTGTCCAACTTTCATCCGAAGAGTTTCTGACGAAACAAGTCTCTCAAAATGTACACTAGTAGCGTCCTAGTTACTAGTAGCGATGCCCGGGCTCCTAGTAGCGATGCCAGAAGCCCCTAGTAGCGTCCTTGCTCCACTTGAAAGTGAGATCCTACAATCATCACAATCTGAGCAGAATGGCAAGACCAAGCCAATGCGTTTGCATCCAACTACTGTGGAAGGGGCATTCTGACTGCGGAAGGCACATATGATAGGTGATCTACCTTAGGAACCCCCGCCAGGGCAATTTGTATATAGTATATAGAAAGTAGAAGGGAGAGGGCGACATGAGCATTTACCACGGCCGCCTTTGCACCCATCACCAAGGAAGTACCAGCAGTTTCTGGTGGAAATAGCCCGCAGGCACCTTGCCAACTTAGATTTTGATGAATCAAATGCCCAGCAAATGCATCGGAATTTCGGAAAGTTTACGCATTCCAAAAGTCTTTCTCGTTTCGATGTGTATGCTTCTGGAGGAGCGCATGTACAAGGTGAGCCTTGTCAAGTCCGACCCTGAGACCCCATTGGGGGAGTGTTCGCTACTAGAAGCAAAGGGCATCGCTACGAACGGAGCAAGGAAGCTACTAGGGGCTCCTGGCCTTACTACTAGGAACAAGGACGCTACTAGGAGCAAAGGGCAGAGGTTAGAAAGCAACTGCTTCCTTTCCCTTGCAGAGCGCCAGCGCACCTGGCTTGCGGCAGGCTTGATATCTTGCATCCTAGGACCGAAGGGCAGAAGTTGGGATTGGATGTGGACTACATGGCCGAGTCGCGACCTTGTCCACAGCAAGCTGGGCGCTCCCACACATGGTACAAAGCCGTCGGGAAAACGTCATTCAAAAACTTCGCGACGGTCGCAGAGAAGATGCGTTATATGTCCCGAACGTTTCCGAACATTTCGAAACATCTTCTGCGATGAGCCAGCTGCAACGTGACTGAGGCGCAGCGTGTTGCCAATTCTTGTCATCTCTGGAGGTATTGCTGAGCAAGTTCCCCAGCCGATCAAAGCCAGAACACTAAAATATAGAGAAGAAAGGGAATGTGCTGGCTCCTTTGACAAAGCCCTCTTTCAAAGGGGCCCAAATACAACATTCTAAGTCTGAATGATTGATTTTTGCTTTCTCGACTTACAAGTGCCCTTTCGGGGCTCTTCAGAGCTCGAATGACCCACTAGATTCCCGAGTGTCATCGAGAGCTCAAGCTGAGCTAGTTGCATGTGTTGATCCCACACGGACCAACTATGACGCGTACCAACTGCTGCGCAAAGACTGCAAGGCAATGGAACAGAAGCCATCCGGAGAGAAAGATGAATACTGGTGCACCAAGCTCAATCGAAAGACACGATGGCAGTGAGCGCTTAAAGGAAGGCAGAAAGAAGATTTTCATGGTGTTACACATGGACCTGCTTTGAGGACAGCATTGTCGAGGTGAATGGCATTCGAGGTCATTCTTGTAATTTCGGTGCCGACGGTGGTTGTAGCATGTTAGAAGCCATGCTTTTCGAAACTCGTTTCGTGGGCAGCATGTTCGCTGATGTTGCCCTGTGCCAACAGGCAACGTTGCACTCATGCTTGAGAAGTGCAAGGTGGATGCCACGTTGGAGCTCCAACCTTAGTGAACAAACATTTAGAAGCACAATTGCAAACAGGAGAGTTTTTTGGTAAAAGGCTCCTCATTTGTTGCTTTGCTTCTGAAGGCAGCTTTTGCTGAGCGGCTCGTATTTTGTTCTGCATGGCTCCAGGTTAACCATTTGCAAATGCCTCACCTATGGGCACTTGGTCCGGAGCTTTGTCCACGTGCTGTTGTGTAGCAGGTGCAGCCGCTGTGTAGAGTAGCGTTCGGTTACCCAGGTGGCTGACCTGGAGAAGTTGATCTCAATCAAGGGCTGTGGCCCAATCATGCTCGAAGCTGATTTTCATCATGCCTACTTTGTTGCTTGCGTATTCTTCCTGAATCATCTGTTCAGACCAGATCCTTCAAACAAGCCTATTTGCATCTATTTGCACTGGCTTAGGGTCCGCTTGTCTTGGCATGATGCCGGTGTTTTCAATGGTGCCCAAGCCGTAGTTGAGTTGCTTTGCTTCTCATATCCACTTCTGACGACATTCAGTGTGCAAAGTAGCTGGCTGTGTTTCGTGTCTCGTCTCACTCCATTATGCCACACTTGCGTCTTTCGCATTGCAGGCGTCGATGGTTGCCCCAATGCTGCAATGCGCTTGGCAGGCGGGCGCAGTTGCGTGCCACTCGACATGTGCCTTCCTTTCTTAATTTGGTTGTTCTCGTTTGACTTTGAGACTTTTATAATGATCATTTTTGAATCTTTTTCAGACCTTGTTTCCTGTTCTTAATTATTAATGGCTTGCGCAAACTCAGGAGGAGGGGAATATGCGTTCGGAGCCAATGCTGGCTTGCAAGAGGCTCAGCTTTATTGTGTACACCGCATAGCGCTGTTCCTGCTAAGCCTAGGCCTCAAGTTGCTATTCCCCTGCTCCAAGCTATCAGTGACAAGTGACCTTGATGTCACTGTTGTCTACCGTTTCTCATATAAATTGGCTCGTGCACACTTTAATGGAAAGTTGAAGGTACGTTCCAAGACTTATTTCGCATTCAGACCTGTGGGCATTGGCTGCCAACGTGGCAATCAAGGCAACGGAAGAGAGGTAGAACTCGAGCTCGGTAGAACCCGACACCGACGGGATCCGATGAACTTGACAGGTCATGGGAGGACCTGACATTGTGACCCACTTTGGCCGTTTTGACGTCCCTGGGCCAGAGCATAACTCCGTCTTACACAAAATCTGCACGAGGTGAAAGGTATGCATTGGGGTTTAATCTATAGGTATATATATATATACACATTTGTAGTTTATAGTGGTTTATATGCATTGACAAGGGAAAACAACTGATACGTGTAATTTGCACGTGAAAAGGTGCCTCCTTGCAAAGGATAGACCTGCTTGTGGGGTCTCCAAGGTCCAAGCACACAGTGAAGGTGTTCAATCTGCAGCTGGCAGACTTCCGGAGCCAAATGGGGAAAAAAACAAATCACGCAGGTAGGTTGGAGGCCATCGCTATTAGGGTGGAGGCCATTACTACTAGTAACAAGAAGCTACTAGGCAGAGGCCATCGCTCTTAGGTTGCAGTCTTCAGATGTTTTTATGTGTGTATTCTGTGCTGCGTTTCTTGCGCCACTGCATTTGGCGTCAAGAAGACTGTGACAGGACGGGGACAAAGATGCAAAGCACCTCCGCGAGATTTTTTACCCGAAGGCTCGAGTCGAATCTGCGTGGCAGGTGTTGCTCCTTGGATCTCCGGCAGTGAAAGATTAGTAACAAAGCATTCTAACAGCACGTTCCACCCAATTCCAGCAACAGCTCAGTAAATGCAGTTGTCAAGTTGCAACCAACATGCAAGACTGACCTTAGATGGGACAATCTCCATCTTTTGGACAGAGAATTTCAAGGAGAGGGTGATGGTTATTGCCTTTAAGCCATCGCTATTGGGTTGGAAGCCATCGCTCTTAGGTTAGAGGCCATCGTGAGTAGGTTGGAGGCCATCGCTAGTAGGTTGGAAGCCATCGCTAGTAGGCTGGAGGCCATTGCTGGTAGGTTGGAGGCCGTTGCTACTGGTGGAGGAGGTTCCTTAAAGTCTTTTGTGTACTCCAGTTGTTGGATGCATTTCGGCTTGGTGGGGGGCTGCCGCACCTGGCTCGCGAAAGGGCTTCACTGACAAAGATATCGTTGCCCTGTCCGGTGCACACACCGTTGGGCTCGGTGCCAAGTGTGTTGCGGCTGATCGTGGCTGCTTTTAAACCTGCCAAAACCACTGGCCGCGAAGCTTGCAGGGCGTGCCATGGGGAACGGTCTGGTTTCGAGGGTCCATGGACTGATGCAGCGCCCTCAGTCAATGCAGTCCAATGCGTCCACGTTGTGCAATGGCCTCCACTCTACTAGCGATAGCCTCCAACTTACTAGCAATGGCCTC